CTCTCTCTCTCTTCGCAATTTAAGATTAAGGAAGTATACGAAGAGTATAATACACCTTACCTGATTCCCTGGCGGAGTGCCGTCATAATCTACAGCTGTGAGATTGATCACAGTCGTTCCTATAGGGACGTCGTCGTCCAACGTAATGGGACGCGGTACCATCGTAAATACCGGCGGATTGTCGTTCACGTCCTGTGTACACGATGCGTTTTAGAATGTTATTAACGCGCCGAGTAATAAGATACATTTAAATTTAAAGCAGTCGAAGCACGATAAATGATAGGATGACCGTTGATTATGATATGATTGCGCTCGAACGCGAACCGGTTCCATAAATTGATTCCAAGGATTAATTCTTGATACCGCGACAGGTTAATTAATTCCCGTTTTAACTAAAGATTTCCATGCATTAATAATCCAGAAAAACCCTATAGAGCTGTTGAGACATATTTTATCTGATTATATAAGATTTTCTGAACTAGAAGGAAAAAAGCCTGTTTTATTAAAAGGTTTTCATAATTACTTCCCACGCAAAATATGATAATTAAAAATCAACGGCAGTCTAGATCTGTATAATAATGTTACATAATAATGTGATATTATAAAGGGCATTTATTACTCGACGCGCCATAACAAATCGATGACGGATATCGATTATTATATAAAAAAAGAGACACGAAAAAAAAAATACCTGAACGTTAATAACAACGCGGGTAGTGGAACCAGGTAGATCGCTGGTGTTCTCCTCGGTGCCTATGATAAGTACATGCTGGCTCTGGCTTTCGTAATTGAGACCGCGGATAGTTTTTATGACTCCGGTCTTCGGGTCTATGGCGAAGAGTTCGGTATCCCCTTGCTTGATCATGTATGTAATTTGCTTCTTTGTGTCCGGATCATCGGCCTAGAAATGATCGCGTTAGCTTGAAAACCCGAGTAAGACGACCGTCCCGGCCAGGACGCATTATCCTTTCCACTTCGCCTCGACGGGGCTGGGAATCGTCAACGACGCGAGTAACGCGAATATCTCCGAGTTGGGACGAGTGTAGGTCTCGATTATCCGATGAACTTTCGAAACTCCTCGAACGAGGCTTGCCATTCGTTTTTCTCGGTAAAATTACGTCTCACCTTATTACGATCCACTTCAAAACTAATTTCACACGGGGAGGAGGAGGACGGGGGAGGGGGGAAAGGGATATTACGTAAGGAAGCTGAGGACGTTTTATCTTAATGCAAACGTCTCGCATTGGAATCCGTATTAATTCACGATTAACCGTGCTGTTCGAGAATCGCGGATCTCGTTGAATTAAAGTCATAGAAAATCGCTACGAATTAGGCAGATTAATCGCTTTTAATCGCGTTTATATCGAGTCTTCCTTCGTTTTCGCAATCGAGAGCACATTTACACTATTATGAATAGTATCACTGCGGTCTTCTAACATGCGACTTACCGTGACTTGAATTACATTATAGTCAGGCACGTTTTCCTTGACACGTGCCTCGTAATTGCTTTGGTGAAAGACCGGAACCTCGTCCTCGACATCTATAACTTTCACTGTGACTGTCGCGGTTGCTAAACGATAATCGGGAGCTCCATCCCTCGCAGTTACCACAAATTTGTATTCCTACGCAATGTTAAATATCACGTTTTCTTATAAATTTCTAAATACACGATCTATATATAGAAATTAAATATAAAATTAGAAAGAAAATTTATTTTAATAAATGTAATCGAATTTTGAAATTTAAAAAAATAAAAGATTTAATATTTATTACGATTAGCATATTTCCAAGACAATTTCTAAGACAATTACAACGTGACTAATTAATTTAAAAATTATATATATCGCATGAAATTATCATTAAATTTTTCTACATGTTGCACGGATGAAAATCGCGTGAACTTTAACTCAGACATGCCGTTTATTCGTTCTCTTTGTCTAAGCGCATACAATGGTATAATTACAATTTAAGTGTAACGTCGTGTAAATGTCGTTTATCCAAGTATAAACTAAGTTATTCTACTGCAAGGCATTCTCGAGTTGTAATCGCGCTTTGTATTTTTCGTGAGATGGGAGTACATTCCCGGAAAATCCGAGATTAAATTGCATAGATACTACAAATACTTATTTAATGCAGTCTTTAAAAAGTTCAAACAAAAAATATAAACTTACTAAGCTTTGATATCTCTCTAATATATCATAATTCCTTAATTTAAAATAATTCCCAAGCTATTTTTTTAATGTAAAGAAAATGATGAGAAGTATAAAAGTCTTTATACGGATTTTCAGATAAACGTCGATAAAAGTGATGTAAATTCATATTATTCTCATAGTTATTTATATAAAAAAGAGAAAAAAAGAGCACCAAGTACACGCGCACCAAACGCTGTACAAAAGAAGTTTTATACAAAAAATTTGATATAAAAAACTAGCGTCCACTTATAGTCGTCAATAAAAGCACGTGGCACTCGTTATTGTTTTTTTGTACATATATCATACAATTGCACTATTCTATCGCTGATTCCGTTATAAATTCCAAACCGTACAAAGTGATTTCAAGATAAAACTGACATGTAAAAACTTGTCTTGATTAAAAGCTACAATAATACAAATATTACTCACGTCGTTCTGCTCGTAGTCCAACACTATCTTCGTTAGAACCTCACCAGTTTCAGGATCCACGGTAAAGGGAATGTCATCGGGTGCGAAATAAGTAATTTCGGCGTTTATGCCTTCGTCGGCATCCTCAGCATGCACGCGGCCGATTACTTTGCGCTCTTCACCCTCCTTCACGGAAAATTCGTAAGGGAGACCCACAAATTCGGGGTTCTTGTCGTTGATATCGGTGACCATGATGTTAACCGTCGCGGTGCTATATAGACCACCAGTATCCTCGGCCTTTATCAACTACAAATTAACAATAAGTATCATAGTATATACTCTGCTTTCAATTTTTTTTTTTAATTTAATGAAACACTAATACCTTTAACAAATAATAATATAAAAATAATCGTATAAAAATAAGATTTTATTCTTAGGATAAATTTTTTCATGAGAATTTTAAAAAACTGGATATATGTATAATATATAATAGAAGAATTTATAAACTATAAATATTTAAAATATGAATTTCTAACAATTTCATTTTAATTTTATTGAAAAATATATTTGAAGTAAGTAATAAATAGATTGTACGCTCAAAGTAGAGAATACGTTGTTTCACTTTTTCGTAGCAACTTGCATTTACAAGAGGAGAAAGAGGCGCATCGATGTTTTTTCGATTAGATAAAAGCTGTCGATAGGAAGCAGCGTAAAGCGAGAAGTGCATTGGCTTGTAGTAAAAGGAAGTGTAGGAAGTTTGTGCTCCGGTGTTTGACGGTATCGACTTACCAACTGATATCGGGTCAAGTCCTCCCTATCCAACTTCCTTATAACGGTAATAACGCCTGATTTGTCGCCGATCGCGAACTGGCGCAAATCATTCCCTGATACTATCGAGTACGACACGGGATCGTTTTCTGGGTCGATGGCCTGTAACATTGATTAATAACGCTATATTATCGAGTATTACGGTTATAAATAGTTAAAATTCCATTATTTTAAGAAGAGAAATATGATCGATAAAAATATATTCTAAATAATAATAATAATAATAATAATAATAATAATAATAATAATAATAATAATAATAATAATAATAATAATAATAATAATAATTCATCAGATACAATTTTTTCGTGCAGTTTGAAGAATAAATTTAAGAAATTAATATAAATAGAAAACTAAAGCGCAGATCTCTAGCTACTTCATCAATACGATAGAAGGACGAAAAAAAAACCGATAAAGCACGTATCGAGCGGATATCGCGCTCCTGTCAGAGCAGTTGAAGTTTAAAATAAAACACCGAGACAAACATCATATCGAGGATACTCACGGTGATAGTCGCGACTGTGGAATTGATGGAGGCCCCCTCGCTGACTTGCACCTCGTACACCGGTTGCTGGAACACGGGGCTTCTGGTGTTGGGCCCGGGAATGACGTTCACCTCGACGATTGTCTGCGAGAACCTGCCACCCTTGTCGTTGGCCTGTACGGTGATGCTATATTGCTCGCCAGCGTTCAGTTTCCTCACGGACTCGATAACTCCGGTCTTCGAATCTATTTTGAACTTGTGCAAGCCGTTGTTCGACACGTGATAGATACTGTACGTTATCTCGGCGTTCTCACCCTCGTCATTGTCCGTGGCCTCCACCTGTGCGAGGTACGAAATTATATATTTTCCTTCTGGAGTTTCCATACCTCACATCTTCGAGCGCGAAAAAGCGAGACTTTGATTTGCAGCGATAATCAATAATAATTTACGAGGAGTAACAAAAGGAGTTTCCATAAATGGAAAACTTGGAATTATTTAATTGTTATTATTATCGAGCGTGCCAGATTGTTGGAATTGTTGCAATTAAAGAATTCACCTTGGCTATTTGCCTCTTCGTCTCTCCCGCTTGTACGGTGATGGGTGCCATCATAGGCAGCACCGGCGAATTGTCGTTAACGTCATTCAACGTCACGACAAACGATAAGGGCGACGACGCGGCCACACCCGTCTTCTCCCGGGCGACAACTTGGAAGCGAAAACGGCCGGGACTCGGAGGATCCCGATCCAGATTCTCCTCGTTCACGACAAGGACGCCGGACGGATCAATTGCGAAAAAGTTCGTGGTCAACTCGAAGGTGTACGTCGGTTTCGGATCGTCTGGTCCCTGAGATGGGCAAAACGACACGCATATTTTTTCCAGTGGAAGAGAGAAACGGAAATAAGAAGCAACTGATTACAAATATACGAGTGATAGGAGTTTCACGGCTGATGATACCGGCCTTATTCGCTAACAATAGAGAAAATTAAACGGTTGATTCACACTTCGGCCATGCTTCGTTAGGTGATAGAATCTCACCAGATCAGCATCCGACACGGTGAGCACAATGGGATTCCCGCTTTCATCGATGACCTTTGTGCCAATCGGAGCATTCTCGTCGACGAAACCTTCGATGCTTGATGCCGTTATAACGGGTGGATTGCTGTCGACCGGCTTGACAGTGATTGTTAATTTGGCCGTGGCCGAGCGCTTCGCTTCTGACACTTCGACCGCCTTGAAAACATAGAGGAAAAAGCCAATTATTCACTGTCTAAATTTAGAAAAGAAAATCATTTAAATTACATGTCTAATAACAAATTTTATGGTATTTTTAAAACATAATTTTTTTCAATGCAAAGGCTAATTACTCTTGTCACTGTGAGGCGTCTGTATATAACAAATAGGGACTATAATTTTTAAATTTCCTATCATCTAATTTTATGGAATATTCGTAACATAATCCTAAATGATTAAAAATTATAATTTAAATAATAAGTACTTAATTTTAATGGACTCTCAAGGACTTTAAATAAATTAATTAAATTTCAGGAAGGGCAACCGAGAATGCGCGGTAATAAATGCGCATCTAAAATGTTTTTAAAACATTAATACGTACATAATATGATTTACTTATAATATAAAATAATAATTTAAATATTTTTAAAATATGGCGCAAATGTACATATATCAATATTTACCTTGATAATAATATCGAACTTCTTCGTTACCGTCGTGTCGACGGCCTTGATTTGCTTCACCGCCCCGGTGTTCGGATTGATCTCGAAAAAATCCCGGTAATTTGGCGGATTTCCGCTGAGGAAGGAATAGTGAATCGGCGCGTTTATGCTGTCCATGTCGACCGCCTGGATTTTCTCGGGCGAGATATTGAGTATGCCGGATAGCACTCCGCTCGATACCTGACGAGGAGAAAAAGAGAATCGCTCTTGCAGAACCGGCTGCACTGATTTATTGGCTACGTGAATTTGTGCAGTGAGATATCGGCGGCCGATTAGGCGCGCGTATTCGATTACACTTGGATTTTTCAATTGTACAAATTTACAAATGGAGTGGCAGGGAAACGCCCGTTAAAATAATTCTCCCGCCGCGCTCGAGACGAAAGTACGGGTTGGTTTATGGGGTTAAATCGACGCGATTTACGTACCGACGCGGAATATTCCGGATTAATGCAGGCACCATCCAAAAGCATACAGCCCTGATAAATAAAGGACGGATCCTGATCATCGTCGTCCCGTATGTTCACCGTCAGCGTGGTCGTGGACGTGAATCTTTCGGAGACGTTTCTTGCCCGATCCTGTAAGCAAACAAGTCGCAATGTAAAGTGACGTGTTAATGACGAGATAAATGCAAATTGATTTTCTAAACACATCGAAGATTTCAGCTACGAAGCGGAGAACATATTCATATCTATCATGTATGTCACTATCTCATAAAACTTATTATTATGTAGCATTCAAAGTAGGTTTAATTATTTTAATGTATATTTTTCATTATATGTGTTTCATTATAAATTTATATTATGATTGCATTGCTATATTATTTATTTTATTTTATTATGATTGTTATGAAAAGATCTGTTTTATTTCTTTTATTCCTTGAATAATAATTTACAACGAAAAATAATGCTTCCTCATTGTTGTGTGTATTATTTATTTAAAAAAATAACATTTTCTTCAAATTATTACTTTATTTTTAATATATGTCGTATTCTCCTTTTCCTTCTCTTTTCAAATCTGTCGACACGAGAGAATATTAATAAAAATATCTTCACTCATTTTTCTTAAAGCTTTCAAGTAAAAACTTGAATGACGTATAAAACTCAATGTGTTGATAACACGCCATTAATCTTGCGATTCTGACGCGTCACGATTATATTGACATATTCAATAGTCGTCACGTGCACAAAAAGAACAAACATCCGTTTTTTATCTCTCTGTCTTCACACACACCATCCGGTTCTCAATCGCCCCGGGAAAATCTCCGTCTTTTTCTTTTTGCCTTTCGTTCTCTTTAGTGACCGTATTTATGCAATAACGGGTCTGGGCCACTTGCGAAGCGCTCTAAATAAAGATAACCCGTTACTGTAACTTTCATTACACGAGAAAGACTTCGAAGAGAGCTTCCGAAAGTATCGCATAAAATATATATGTCTTAGAATGCATATTGCAACATACATACTACAAATTATGACGCAGTAACTGTAAAAATGCACATATTGCCCTCCGCGGCATGCAGAACATCTCATAAATTTCATCTTTTAATAAAACCGCGCATTATTTACTGCTTCTCATTAAAACACATTGAGAGACATATTCTCTAAAAGAAAATCGTGATGTTTTCAAATTTCAACAAGACTAAATTTTAGTATATGAAAAGCAGCAAGGAAAACTGCCGAAAAATATGAAAAATTATATTAGCGCTATTTACGTGATGCTTCTTCAACATTTGTCGCAAGTCGCTGCTGAACGTAAAATTTTCACAAAGCGCTAAGCGCTTTACATACATTAACTTTACATATGAATCCTCGTGTAGCCAGTATATTCGGAATATCGACTCGGGCACGATATTCCTGACGGAGGCTAAAAGGAGCTGCGCGCACGAATCAGAAGTCGGTCATTTGTTCCACATAATATTCAAATGAGCCGCACCTGCTGCAGCACCGAGAGCGGACTTGATCCGAATCGAGACGGAGAGAGATCGATCGCGTCCTCGACTCGGGGAGATTCACCGCGATTATGCGAGACCGTGGCCGATTTATCTCATAGCTGGCCGAGAACTGACAGAGAGAGAGAGAGAGAGAGAGAGAGAGAGAGAGAGAGAGAGAGAAGA